CATAGGATATAATACGACTGATATCTTACCTTAAATTGTATTACTACGAGTAATTATATTACATTAATTTGAATGTAAAATAACATAAATGTTAAAAAAATCTGATAGGAATAAACGTCAGTTAAAATATATGGAATAAATCATATCACGGATGTAAAAAAACACCTATTGAAGTCAGGCTACATGGTCCTATCACTTTGTTCATTTGCAAATCGATTATGTAAGCGATTTTCATTTATTGATAAAATCTTTACGCATTTGCTTTTATGAAGCTGTCAACAAAAGCAATTTCAAAAGTTTCATTTATCGTATCGCTTACTCGATCGGCCGCATGTATAGCGTTTATTTTATAAATTTTCTTATTATGTGTATAAGTGTTTATCTATACATATAATAAAATTGTAACTAAGCCGAATCTGTACATTAAATATTTTTTGGAAAATCTTATTGAAATAGACATTATTATCGATACAGAGGCCGAATCTATAGTTTTTAGATTTTTTGTCTGTATGTTTGTCTGTCTGTGTGTCTGTTACCGCATCACAGAAAAACCACTGGAGGGATTTTGATGAAATTTGGTATGGTGAGAGCTGGTTATCCGGATCAATATATAGGAAAATATATATTTTTACCGCAGGAAAATGTCTCATTTCTGAGAAGAAGTATATTAATATGTAAAACCTAAGAATTTGGTTTTGGTCATCTAAACACGGGCGGAGCCGCGGGCAATGCTAGTCTAATATATAAAAATCTCGTGGCATGGTGTTTGTGGTCGCACTCTGATTTTAATGTTTTTTTTGTATATTTGGTAGGTATGAGAATATAATATATTTTTCACCCTCCTACCCCAATCCCTCATTTTTTAATAGTGAATTTTGTATTTTTGTATGAACAATATAATATAAATACATACATAACGACGAACCCGGGCAAAGTGAGGGTGAGTCGCTGTATAACGTAAAGCCAAATACTTTTTTTGTTGATTGAACTCAGGCATAGCCGCGGGTTGTGGCTTGTATTATACTATTATACATTTACCCTGTCATCGTTCGAGTGCATTAGATGCTATTTACGACTTTATATTAAAACACACAGACAGACACTAATGTAAAAGAAACACAATTTCACTAATATGAATTTTAATCATTTCTCAACGGCTCACGTATAGAACAAACAGACTCTAAAACAACAACTAGTATTATATAAATAATGCACGTAAGATATTATATTTGTTTTTTGGACTCAAACGCGCCATCGAAGGCTCAAAGACAGAATTTGGGTAGAGTTATTTTGATCATTTTCTCTATGTCGTAGGAAAATATTTGTGGGAAATTATTCAAAAATACTAATAACAGTTGAACTATAAAGAAAGTATGTGACCCGTGAATAGATATTGGATGGCTGATAGCATCTGACGAGGGTCTAGAAGGGCCAAGCCTATATTCATATAGGTGAAGAAAACACTGAGCGTTGGGACACTGGCAATATAGAATAGTTTTTTATTATATGAAGAATTTAAAGATAATATATAATCAAATTATTAATAATAATAACTTTTTAAAATTTTAAAAGTTAAAATTTTAAAATTCTGCCTTAGAATTTTAACGTATAAAGCCTTCGTCTTGACGGATTTATACGGGACCACCCTTTTTACTATTTATTACTTTTTATATTGTTCTTCCGACCGATTTTAAGTAACCGATGAGTGTGCAAACCGAATGCTTTTTTTGTTACCTTTACTCTAAACGTCCAGTGGGATGACAATTCTATATGACCGGTGAAAGATCAGGCACAGAAAGGTTTTAGGTGCTTTCCGAGGGCACATAGCCCAGGGAGCCATGTTTGTCCTGACCCGGGAATTGAACATAGGATCCCCGGTATATCAAAGTTGGCGTAGTAATTAGTACATGGATAAAAGTTACAAAAAGTCTGCCAAGAATGAAGCCATAGCATGTATCTACTTTTAATTGAAAACAATTTTTAATCCTGAAAATAAAAACAAGTAATACTTAAACAGAGTATTTAATTAATTACAAAATCCTTTTCGCTCGAGCCGAATCTCTCATTTCGTTGCCATAAACCCGAGATACTCTATCACCATCAATCTTGATCTAATTTAATAAAATTAATGACTCTGTTGTTCTATATAGTTTCTTTCTTCTTTCCGGTAACTTATTTGGTATAAACTGATCGATCACTGTGCTGATAAATTGTTTTGGCTTCGGAGTAAGAGTATAGCTTCAATTTTATTAGAAATAGTCTTCTTCTAGTAACTTAGATTAAAACTGAGAGTAAATCTATAAGAAGTGGTTATAACAAAGTTATATAGGGTCTGTTTAAATATTTCACAGCTGTATTAGATTCTCGAATATAGCCTAAGTAACTTTTTGTATCTTAAAGAGCTACTCGTGGAAAGAATGTAAAAGTAGCCTATATTTGTATCACTCTCCGGTGCTCGAAAATGGACAAACAACCAAACACGATTTTGCATTAGTAACTTTACCTCTTTATAATAATAGTATAGATAATTTTAAATTAGTAATTCATAATTATATATTATACGCTATATACACTATAATTTTCCTGCGGCTCCGCCCGCATAGTACATTAATCACCAACATATTATATACTAAAACCTTCTCCGAAACACGCTGAATCTTATTCAGCGTATTTTGGAGAAGGTACCATAAGTGGTATGAGTATTATACCGATCGGTTCAGTAGTTATTGCAGTATAACCGAACAAAAAAATCGGCTTTCCATTTATTAGTATAGATTATACATTTATTCTGTGTATCTCGGAAACGGCTCTAACAATTTCGATCAAATTTTGTATTTAGATATGGGTTCACTTTGTAAGTTTATCTATGTATATATATGTCTTTACTCAAAAATCGCGATTTTCATACCTTTTCCGAGAAACGCCCAGGTACTTTATATAAATGAATAGTAAGTTTTTAATTAATTTATATGAAATGCAGTAGCTTATATTATTATAGTTTTTTAATCAAAAAAGTTCACTGATTCGATTTTTAAAAATAATTTATCCATACTTGATATATTTATCTATATTTATTACGAATATTTTTTATAACAAAAATTTACATCTTCATTAAGTTCTTTTTCTCTTTTGTATATAGATAAAAATTAAATACAGACTTAAAAGCTTTTCACAAGTTAGATCGACAGACAAACGTTATACTGGGCTTATAGGTATAATAAGATCAAATCTTCAAAGCAATGATATAACGTAGCAAGCCATCACACAGCAAACTTGAATAATTCGAGCTTATCATCGGGAAATTTCTACGAAAAGGAAATATTTTTTTCAAGGCAACATTCCGTTACTCATCCATGTACCGATTCGCTCAACATTAAATAACATTAAATCGATTGAAGTTAGCAACGATTCGGGAAAAATCTTTATAAAAATACGTATAAATATATGAAAAACTTTATAATTTGAATTGTACGCTTAAGTTAATCTTGTATCTATGAATATATTTAAATCTAGCTACCTACCACAACTTTGCTCATGAACCTTCATGAACTTAAAGACTTTAAAAAACTTAGAGATTTGAGTGCGTTTGTAATTTGTATGTCTATGTTTGTTACTCCTTCACGCTCAAATGGCTGGACAGAATTGAATAAAATTTAGTAGGCAAATAGAATATGACCTGGAGTAACACAGGCTACTTGTTATATAGAGAACTGACAGAGTTAAGTGAAAATAATTTGCTAGCAAGTACTAATATATTTAGAAAAGACAACGTACTTTTACAGGATATTAGCTACGAAAAACTATACTTTCCGGGATAAAAGTATCTTATATATATATATATATATATATATATATATATAGGTATCATCTAAATCGGTTTAGTAGATCCAGAGATTACCCCCTACAACGTCATAAACTCACAACATCACAAACTCAGAAACTTTACCTCTTTATAATATTAGTATAGATAACATATATAACTGCTACACCAATCTTTCTTTTAGTCTGAGATCTAGACCTAATCGTCCTAAACCTTTTAATATCGATTTATTACCAACGATAGATATTAAATCAAAGGCAGCATAAAATATTGCGAAACTATTTCTTCCACACCAAATAGTAGAATTCGTTCTGGTTTTTGAAAGTCATTAAAAACCATACTAGGTCATCTGTTCTTGAATTATTTCAAAAAAGTTTATTTAAATTATAAAATATTTTTTATATAAGCTGCAATTTTAATTCTCTCTTAAAAGCTTGGAGAGGCCGGCTTCGTTTCGGATGGCAGTTTGTTAAATATTTTTATTGCCACGAAGCATGCGTTATTCTTGTAGTAGTATAATGAAATAAAATATTTTATTTTACAGTATTACTGCACGTATATGGTATGGTAGTAAAATATATAGTTAAAAGTTTTTTTTAATATGTGCATAAAATTTTCTGTGTTGTTTTCAATCGTGTAGATAAATGCTATGATTTCTGCATACAAGTTCACTTTTTTCTACTCTAACTAGTTTATAGTCGTAAGATAAATTTTGTCATAAACCTCAAGAACAACCTTTAATATCGAGATAAAAGTTATTGTTTAATCTATACTTTTGACGACACGGTAAGCTCAGTTTGTTGTGACTCTACTTGCTGTGCCAGCGGTCGCGGGTTTGAGCCCCGCTGGGGGCATTTTAAACATTTGTGTGTTAAGCACGAATGTGTGTCTCTCCACTCCAGTTATGGGTTAAACACCCATTCATAATATGTATGTATTTAAAGTTATTATGTGTAGTGTATCAACTATCTGGTTAGTATCCATAACAGCCTCGTAGCCTTACCATGAACCTAGATGGTGCTGTGTGTTAATGTCGCAACATATTTAATAAATTTCTAAGCAAAAAACCTAAATACAAATTAAGGTCCTTGGAATACCAAAAGAAACATGTACGTACTCTCAGAAAAGCGGGTGATGGTAAGTGATTATTTAAAATATTTTATTCTTATATTTGTTACAGAAACCAGCTTCCAGACTCGATCAGAGTCAGACGATAGTGACAGCACGTCAAAAGCAACCGTCTCTGGAATGCCAAGACGTAAGTATATTTACATATCAAATAAGTAATAAAATTCAGACAGTTTTATTATAATCCAATGCGTATTTCCTTAAAATTTAAAGATATTATTTATTCTTTATACTATGAATCAATAATATGATTACATAAAGAAAGTACTTTTAACGAATAAAATTCTGTTAAGTATATTGTATTACAATTTGATTAATTTGATTAAATGAATGCGACGTTTCGAACAATTTTCAGTTATTTGTGGTTAACCGCTTTAACATTTATTAATTTATAGATAAGAAATGGTACTGAATAAATTAAAATTATTTACGTTTTATTTATTTTTTATACAAATAATGACAATTTAAGGAATAAAATAGTTGGACAATGTATAAGATTGGCGTCTTGTCAAAAGTCATCTATACATATAATAAAATTCTGAGTCGTGTCTGTATATTGGAAAATCTTATTGGAATAGTCAGTACTATCGTCTGTCTTTCTGTCTGTCTGCCTGGGAACACATCACGAGAAAACCTCTAGATATATTTTGATGAAATTTGGTATGATGATAGCTAGTTATCCGGGTCAACATATAGGATACTTTTTACTGCGAGAAAATATTTCATCTCTGAGAAATAACTTTTGCCTTTTATATATATATATAATATATATATATATATATATATATATATATATATATATATAAGATAAAGAAAAAAAGTATAATTTTTACATTTTCAAATACATAATAGCTATAATACTTTGAAAACGTACAGCAAAAATTATTATATTTAAAATGCATAGAAAAGTTATCCACAAAGAGCATAGAATTAGAGCTAGAGTGTTTGCGTAACGTAAACATTACAAGAGTTAAACGTTTATTTTAACAATCATTTTCATTATTTAGTACTTATTTTCTAAGGGTGCAATTTGTTATATTAAACATGATATGATATTCTTTTTAATTTAAAGTGTAATTAAAAATATAAACTGTTTGAATTATGTCTCAGTGTATTATTATAAGGGTTATATAATAAAAATAAAATAAAATAATCGTATAAAATTCATAATGTACTAGCGGAACCCGCGGCTTCGCTCGCGCTAAAACTATTAAAAAACTCTGAAATGGTAGGTTTCATACAAACTTTCATCCGCTATTTTACCCGCTTATGGGATGAATTTCGAAAAATGCTAAAACAAGTGTTTAATTAATTGTATTGAAGAGAACTTTTACAAAGTTTCAAGTAATTCTAATCATAAATAAATTTTTGGATTGTATTATAGCATGTTTTCCCGTGGGAAAAAGATAATCTCCCGCGGTAAAAAGTAGTCTGCCACTATCCAGCCCTGCAACTATTCCCATACAAAAAATCAAGCCAATCCGACAAGTCGTTTTGACGTGAAAGAAAGGCAAACAAACAAACAAACACACTTTCACATTTATAATATTAGTATGGATTACATTCATAATTTTTGTCTGCGTGGTTTGTTTCAAACAAAATACCTTATATTAATTCAAAATATAAGCTGAGGCCAATCACATTATGACCGTGGTTTTTCAATTTAATGCCCATCTTTGACGTTCATATTCGAGAAACTGAAACTTTTCGACAATTTTGACTTATTGTATGGTGGAGAATAGTTAATAATATAGTTCATAGCGGACTCGCTTTTCGCAAATTTTCATTATTAACTAGCGGCTCACCCTCGCTTCGCTCGGGTTCGTCGCTAGGTACGTTTTAAATAGAGATAAATAGTTATTAGCCAGCGCTAGCCATATAATTTTTTTTCGTTAATTTTTCTGATGTTTTAATACTTATTATCCTATTCCGGACTAAGAGAAATCCAAAAATTCAAATTTCGTAAAAATTGGTCCAGCCGTTCTTGAGTTTTATGTCACGTCACACGGGAACGCGATCGAACGGGATAAAAAGTATCCCATGTCCGTCTCCTGGTTCTAAGCTACTTCCCCACTAATTTTTAGCCAAATCGGTTCAGCCGTTGTTGAGTTATAAATAGTGTAACTAAAACGACTTTCTTTTATATATATAAGAATGAAATAAAGCCAAAATTCCGAAGCAAGTTTTTAATAAATTGCGCGACGGCACTTCTTTAAGCTCATGGATTGAAATACTATACTAAGCAAATGAAATGAAAAATATATAATAATATTTTGTATATAGTGGTTCAGTTTATGGCGACCTCTAAATAATATAACAAAATTCCTATTATACTTAGGAAGGTATTTTAATGCACTTGTCAAAGATTAAAATTAACTGAGAGGTGTTGAGTCAAGCGCATATAATAGCTATTACCTATATTGGCATCCAGCCAGTACCAATACGCTTGAAATAAGGTCAAAACGATGAAATAAATTTCATGTGAACAGACCGTTCCTATCGCCAACTAAGCTATAGTCAATTTAAATGGCAATTTCCATTAAGTTATATAAATTATTATTAATATTACTTATCTGTTTGTGTAACATATTGTGTCAAATCACAAGATCAATTTTTGTGTGGGGGTCGAAAATCAATGGAGGTTGTAAATCCATACTAATAATATAAATGTGAAAGTGTTTGTTTTACCCTTCTTTCACGTCGAAACAGAAGGACGGATTGGCGTGATTTTTGTGTGGAGATGGTTAAAAGGATAGGAGAGTGATATAGAAAAAAATTTGACAACATCAAAACAAAATTTATGGTGTAATCAAAGTTTATTTTAAAATATATCCGAAAATGACATTAAAAATTTAAGTAATAGTATGAAAATGCTTAAAAAACAACAAAATCGAAAGTGCATAATAATTACAAGACTTCCGCGGCACCATTCAGACAAAGAGAGACAATAGCATTCCTAAGGAGGGTTGACGTCAGGCAGGCGGTCGGTCGTAAAACTTTTGCCAAATCCTAGAAGATGTACTGCGCCGACCTCAAGTGATTGGGAAATGGGCAGGGAGAAGAAGAGATTGATATAGGTTACTTTTTACTTGTCTAATTCCCACGGGAAAGCACGTTATAATGCAACCAATAACAACTCATCATACCTATGTACATATATCTCTTCCATACTAACCCTTCCAAACGTAACGTTGGACTACCCCGAGAGAAGGCGAGTCGCTGGTTAAGTATAAATATAATATTACAATCTTATTATTAATAAGGATACCTAAGTATGTCAGTTTGTACTTCATTTACGCAAGAAGAAATCGATCTATCGTGATTTTTACACCGACATCAAACAAGCAGAATTTAGGTACTTTTTTAAACTCTTATATTTTTTTGCATGAATATATTTTTAATACCCGAAAGTCACATAAGCTGTTTTTTTTTCATTATATGTAGTTAGGTCGTTTTCGTCAGATTTTAGACGTTTGTTAAAGATTTCAGAAATAAAATATATGTTTTAATATAAAAATTTTAATTGTATTATTTTAAAAGTACTAAATCCTGAGGCGAGGGTGAGCAAGTCTTCTTTTACGACTATTTTACTACTTTACTTCATAACTTGGCTCTCAAGCGTCGCATAGAGTAGGTAAAAATGTACCCAATTTCAAATATTTCTTCTGAAAAATCCGTGAATATTTTTTATAAATTTTCATAACAGTTACTAGTTGACAAATAATTATTAATTATATATATTCTAATCAGAATTGTCATCGAAATCGGTTCGGCAGCAGTAAGGACGAACTAACAGACAGACTAAAAAACAAAAATTGGATATTTAGGTTTGAAAGCGTGAATGATCATTTAAGACAACTGTAAATTAAGTGGGTAACTTCAATTTTATTACTATATAGTATGTATGTATAGACTAGTTCAACGTAGAACTATATAGAGGCCGTTTGCTATAAAAGCTTGAAATTTCGCACAAGAGTTCTTTATGTAACGCTGAAGGAAGGATTTGAAAATTGACCCCCTAAAAGTGCTAAGTAAGAAATGAGACTGTACGAAACATTTTTGAAGTAAGAAATTATATGAAAATTAATATTATAGTCGATGAAAAATTGAAAAATCCCATCGGACTTATTGCTTTTCATAAAATTTGTTGCAATATGTACAATTATACATATATCTATACATATTTATGTATAGATATCTGCAAATATTTCAGACTTTATTAGTATTCTGGTAACATTTTAAAACTATTCAGCAATACTCGATATAGATTCAATATAGTTCCGACCAACTTTAAATGGATACTCCTTTGAAAGCAATCGAAAGTTCCACTAGTTTTTCTTAAGAGTATACTACCAAGTTATTATTGATTTTCATCTGAGTTTCTTCTTTATGGCCCATGATCCATTATAATTGAAAAATTTTCGCAGTACTCATAGTAAAGCCAATATTTAAAATTTTATATCAGATATTACTCGTATAAATGTTGAATTTTTTAAATTATTTTTTGCTAAAACGACTAAAGTAACACATAAGCTACTGCTAGGTACTTAGGGACACCTGAGCGAAGCCGGGTATGTCACTATATCATATTTCTAAGCAAACGATGACAAGTTCTAGATGATTTACAAAAATATAATTTTTATTTAGGTAGATAGATATATTTTTAGATAGATATACATTCGATAGGCAGTGGTAGCTAAGTGGTAACGCGCTCGCTTGAGAAACCGTGAAGCGGGTTCAAATTCCAGGTCTCGCACCTCTAATATTTTCATGTGCAAATCATTTCCAACATAATCACCACTTGCCTTACGGTGAAGGAAAACATCGTGAGGAAACCTGCATGTATGAAAGAATCTAACAAGTTTTCGAAAGACATGTGAAGTCCGACAATTCGCACTCGGCCAGCATGGTGGACTATGGCCTGATCCCCCTCGTATTGAAGGGAGGCCCGTGCCCAGCAGTGGGACGTTGAAAAGGGCTGAATAGATAGATATAACGAAGCGTGTGTCTTTCAGTCTTATGTCTTTTAATTTACATAATTTGAATTTAATTTAAAACATTGAAACTACAAATACACTTAATTCTATATACAAAACAAATGTGTACTTAACTATTACTATACAAATCATG